ATCTAATGAGATGTACCCGATCTCAAACGACCAAACCATTCATGAGATAATGTCAAAATACTGAGCACACTCATTTTTAGCGAACTTTTAGGGTCAAAATAGACCCCGTTAAACTTGTTTTAGCTCGCATTTTTCATAGGTAAAACCAAATGCGCTAATATTTTGAATTTAACTATAGTTTACATAGACCTATCATTCAAGACAATAAAATCGAAAACAAATTTTTTTTCCCCGAGGACCTATATGGAGCGTACGGTGGTCTTCTCACGGACTCTCTCTTAATTTCTCTAAAGAAATCTAAGTTTTTCTAAAAAATGCCTTTAAAGGGCTTTTTCTTGAATTTCTTAAAAGAATACGATTTCTTCATGAAAAAGCATCGGATCTCATAGGAAATGGCATTTGAAGGCCTTTTCCGAAGTTTCTACTTTGTTTTACCATGTTTCTACGAAGAAATCTGAGTTTTTCCAAAAAATGCCTTTAAAGGCCTTTAAAAGGCTTTTTCTTGAATTTTTTAAAATAACATGATTTCTTCAGGAAAAATCATGGGATCTAATAGGGAATGGCATCTTAAGGCCTTTTCCGAAGTTTCTGCTTTGTTTTATTGAGTTTTTACGGAGAAATCCGAGTTTTTGTAAAAACTACGTTTAAAGGCCTTTTAAGAATGTTTAGCGCGTTTTAAAACCTTTTTCTTCGATGGCATAAAATGAAGCAGTTGTGTGTCTAATTTATCGCTTTCTAATGGAAAGTGCTGTGTTTCGTTTTACGGCGTTGTCTGTGTCGTATACGGCCGCCGTATTTCGCCGTATACGACACGACGATATACGGCCCTAATACGGTGCATAGAAATACGACGTATATACAGCCGTGCACGGTTGTATATTCGCCGTACAGGGCTGTGGTATACGGCGTCGTAAACAGTCGTATACGGTCGTATCTGGTCGTCGTAATGCTCGACCTGGGAACTCCAGAATGATTCACCAATGCAATTAATGAAATAATTCTTCAGCTGTGGAACAAGTTCACTATCTGTGAAAGATAGCCCACTCGTCTCTTCACTAGTATATAATGCAACAGTATTTCCGATAACTGTAATAAAATAGCTTTGATCAATCAGAATCTTTCTGATGGTGGGAAGCCAAAGTGAAATTCCTGTATCCATAAAAGCTTTGAGAACTTTCTCTACAGCAGAATATTCCCATGATCCCTTCCCCAAATCACGTATGAGCCATGAAAGTTTCTCAACAGTACCACATTCAAAATTGGAAAAACATGGTATCTTCGCAAAGATTCGGTCTAAAATTTCTTGTGCCCTGAAAGAATCTTGCAATCTCTTACTAGTATATGCATCCAATAAAGCTTTCAACACTTGATCAGCGTATACCTTTTCAACCATTATTCCAAGCGCTTCATAGGCACATCGTCGGACATCAGCATCGGCATCCCAAAGCGCATTGACGAGTCCATTGATCACTTCATTGGTGGCTGCTTTTTCACCAATTTCTCCGAACGCTTGCCAGGCACGGCATCCGACACCAGCATTCACATCCAGAAGTGCATTGATGTGTCCATTGATCACTTCATTGGTGGCTGCTTTTTCACCCATTCTCCTGAGCGCTTCACAAGCACATCGTCTGACACCAGCATCAGTATCTCGAAGTGCATTGACGAGTCCATTGATCACTTCATTGGTGGCTGCTTTTTCACCCATTTCTCCGAACGCTTGCCAGGCACGCCATCCGACACCAGCATCCACATCCCGAAGTGCATTGACGACTCCATTGATCACTTCATTGGTGGCTGCTTTTTCATCCATTCTCTTGAGCACTTCATAGATACGCCGTCTGACACCACCATCGACATCCCGAAGTGCATTGACGAGTCCATTGATCACTTCATTGGTGGCTGCTTTT